TAACAAACTTAAACACAACATTAGCGTATTATCACCTTATAAAGCAGAAAGTAGGAACATTAAAATACGTCTTATATCTGAACGTAACTGTCTGATATTCACTCACCTTCTCCACCAACTCATGATAGACCAGGGCTGTCCAAACTGGGGTCCGTGGCCCAATGTTGGCCCGCCATAGGGTTCAAGTAAAGTAATATTGTACTTAAATTTAATTATGTAACATTGTTGTTAATGCATCAACTAAAGCAGCATTTTACTGTTGTAGCTGGTCACAGTGGAGCTAAAGTTTCCAGTACTTTAATATAAAGTTAGGTAGTTCGGTGCAAACGGTACCAACCATGAAATAAAGCTGAGGGGTCCTGAGATGATTAATGGGAGAGGAAAAAATAATTTCCACCATACAAATCTGTGTCCATTGTTGTTATTTAAATAAAACCTGATCGTCTCCGGTGGGACTAACAACTCATAGACATCTGAAGACACCATCAGCAAGAAGATTGGATATTTCTATATATTATTCTTAAAGCCAACGGGTCGGATTTGGTTGGATTCCCCTTGAAACCAATGAAACAAGGTGGTGGAAACAGTACCACTTTTGTCCACAGGAGGGCGCCAAAATCAACAAAACACATAAAGTTCCTCGTTGCTGCTTCAACTACAGCACTTGAGTGAACGTACTTTGTTAGTTTCCACCACTGGAAGCTAGAAATCTTTGTGAAACAGATAAAAAAAAGTGGTCACACATCATAGATGATATCGTATTGACTGATTAAGTAAACCAGAACAAACGAGAGGGGGGAGGCTCGTGGAAATGAACTCCCTCTGGGGAGGAATCTGTGTGTGCTCAGAGCCGATGCACGTTGGATCAAACGCCCACGGGATGAACCTCTCTGGATGCAGCTCACACTTCCGGTGAAGGTGGTTACCTCAGTAGGAGGAAGAGGCCTTGATGGTTATCCTCTTCAAAAAGCGGAGAAAACAGAAGCATGGTGTACTTTCAAAAATGATGATAGTTGCGTCTCATGAAGAGCGACTCTGCGTGACTCTCCCGCTCGACATCTTCCTCCGAGAAATAACATAATGTGCGAGCGGGAGGACACACAGTTTCTCGCTGTCCTCTCAGCTGGATCGCTCACTTGTTTGTGTGTGTCTGTGCTGTGAGTGGATGGAAGGTGATTCAGAGTTTACGCTCACATCTGAGGCGTCAAGCTCACGTTTGGGAACATTAATAAGAGCAAGAAATAAAACAGTGTAATAATAATAATAATAATAATAATGTGCAGTTGTGGAGGAAATACTCAGATGTTTTACTCAAGTTAAATACCACAAAGTATAAATAAATAACGAGTAAAGGTGTATTTAGATTCTTATTTAAAGGGCCGGTGTGCATTAGCGACATCTAGTGGTGAAGTTGGAGATTGCGACTAACTGAACACTGCGCGTCTGTATCTGACAACGAAGTATGTGGGAGAAACTACGGTGGCCTTGCAAAAAGAAACTTAAAGGACCCTATCTAGTGCCAGTGTTTGGTTTGTCCCTTCTGGGCTGCTGTAGAAACAACATAGTGGACATCAGCTGTAGATAAAAACAGCTCATTTTAAGGTAAAAAAAACACAACAATTCCCATATTCAGCTGATTATACACCAATAAAAACATACCTATTAATATAATATTCAATTTCTGCCAATAAATCCTCCTAAATGTGTAAAAACTGGACCTTTAAGTAAAAGTATAACATTTAAAAGGTGCTGCAGACTGCAG